GCCCAGCTTGATGAACAGCATCTTCGGAAACTCAAGGACACTAATGACAATGATCCAGATGACATCAATGACCCTGAGGACACCGAAAACATTGGCACATTCATTTCAGGGCCATATCTATCTCGGTTTCCCTCAACACCCTATGAGTTTTGCTGATGTGGAGCAAGCAAACAGCTCATTGTGCACTTTGACCAATTTCGCAAGAAATTTTTGATATTCATCAATGAATTCCTTCCTGCCCACAACATACCATTGCCTGATGGGATGACGTGGTTGAGGCCGGCAGCTCAGGACAGGTTAATTCAATTTATTTTATTTTCCTGTGATGCTAATTGAACTACATTTCTCTGCAGCTACAAGAATATCGCTACCTCAAGGTACACTACGAGTCCATCGTTGACTGGAAGCTTGCAACAGACTATCTCCATTGCAGTCCAAGCTTCCATGGGCATGAGCGCCATGATTGCGCACTAATTCATACTCACAACAAGAACGGCAACACCAAAAATATATTTGCACAAATCTTGTTCATGTTCAAGTATACTGTTGGCGACTGACATTTGGATCTCGCTCTCGTGCTTCCACTGGATGCTCTGATTGGCCCACGGCTTGCCATTGATCAGGACCTGCGCTTTACTCGGCTGCATGCATGGCCTGCAGCATCTTCAGAGTTCCTTCCATTCATTCAATCATTTGTGGTGCTTTGCTCATTCCAGATTATGCCAATCCTCATCGAGACTTCTTTCTTGTTGATGTTGTTGATTCTGACATGTTTCTGCGCTCCCAGAAAAATGTTTTAATATAGTAGTATTTTGCAATGAGGATCTCATTCTCTAATACTCATTCTGCAAGCTTCCATTGTCTGATGGGGATCCGCAGATTGACATAATGTGAACAGTATTAAGTATATGAACTACTGATCAATCTCTGACCACCCTCCAGCACTTCTCCATCAAAGCGCACCATCCCACTATCAGAAGAATGATGATATCCCTTTCGTCGGCCCACCCGTATATGTAATACACCCCACGTCAGCCCACCCATCTATGTAATATTCCCCTACCTCGGCCCACCCATATATGTAATACACCCCCGTCGGCCCCACCCGTCTATATAACAATATTTGCCTTACATCTCTCTTCAGCCCAGCTGTCTATAATATCCTACTCTACATATTACCCAGATGGGCCCACCCATCTCCATGAATGATCATATTCCCCCGGCCCATCCGTCAACATCAAGGATATATATATCATTGGCATACATGGGCCCACCCATCTCCATTGGAAATAATATGTTTCCTGGCCCATCCGTCATCATCAAGGATATACACAACATGGGCCCATAATCCGCTGGCCCGTATGATATGGAATTTGTCACTGAAGGGGCTCGCTGGCTGTGGTGAGAGGGTTGACTCTGATATTAGAACAGAAGATTGAGTGCTCTCTGGAGTTTGTATTGCATGGGGTTGTGCTGAGCAACCATCTGAGTAAGATGGTGTGTGCAAGTCCTTGCAAAATATTTTTGGTTTCAGGGGCTTTGGTAGAACAATTTGATGGCAGCACTGTGAATTGGGAGGGGGTGGAAGACAAGTGATAGGGTAGGCATGGGGTGGTGTGTCAAGGCCAAGGTGATTTCTTTGTGGAAGAAGAAACTCAGACTGGTAAGAATTATGGTGGTGAAGATTCTGATTTGAATGAAAATTTGAAAAGGTTTCAAGAAGGTGAGGGTGCAGGTAGATGTTGATATTGGTGTAATCAAACTGAGAGGCTAGGATGCCTACTGCATGTTGTATATCTAGTTGATCTTGATAATAGTGGACTTTGTTGTGGACAACATGTGAAATGATAATTAAAATTGTTTTGAAAAGACAATAGGTCTGACTTACTGTATCCGTCCAGCTAAGGAAATTGAGCCCTGAATATGGGTGAGTGTAAGCCGGAGCCATCCTCATTGGACTGATAACCATCCCCCATCATTATGTCTTGTAGAAATCAAGCATAGATACCACTGTTTGTGCTGATGACCATAAGTCTAAAAGAATGAGTTTAGAAAGAAAATGGTAACTGGTAAATATGGCACTAATTTTCAATGCTTTACTATGCGAGACTTGTAAAACTTGAAGGAGAAACATGTCCCAGGACAACAAGCTCAATGACTCCCAAACTCATTACTAATTCACGAGTCAGATGAGGATTTGTACATACATAAGTACTACTAGCAAAGTGCCTAGCAAATTCATGTGTGACTCCCATGTACTAAGGGCTCTAATTAGAAGCATCAATATATAGCCAATACAGTGTGTAGAGTTGGTCCAATCCGAGCACCTGACTCTGTGACTATAGGATTTTCGGCAGCTTGTAGCACAGTGAATCGGTTGCAAACATGTAGCATACATGTAAAAATATCTACTGTATGTACCACCGATGATTTAAGGTTTCAGCCACTCCTTCAACTCCTTCCGAGTCAAGCTTGTCACAAAAACACTAAGTCCAGCAGTGACAGAAACTGCCAGTGTGGTAACACTGTCTTACTAGGATGTGAAAACAGTAAAATCACCAATTTTCAATATCCTACCATGGTCAATGGTTCAGACAAATACTAACGGTCGATAATGTGGTTGTTTGTGGAAAAAGTGTGTTGAGTTCTCAAAGGAAGTACACAGTGACTAAAGGGGGGACAGAATCAGTAACTGGCTTGATGCAGTGCTATGATCCTAAAGAAAGTCAATAACTGGCGCTGTGACACTCGGATCCTCCCTGGGCTGCAAATGGGTCATTGCCATATATGTGTCAAGGAGTACAGAGCACTATGAGTTTCCTTATCATTGTCCATCATTTGTCCAGCAAGTAACCTCTGTCCGAACCCGAACCTGCTTTTCCCGTGCTTTGTGCATCCGCTTATCCGCACTTTCCCGCGCATCGGATACCTCGGAAACGCATTAGGAAGGTCCCTTGTCTATCCATAGTCCATCCAAACTCCATTGGTATGTGAATTTCCTTACCTCGAGGCTTGTAAAATGTGTTGCAGCCTTATTATATGTCCTTACATATTTACTATATTTCCTATCCCTTCCCTCTCCGAGTGAGAGTTTAGACAGTATAAGTTGACTACTTCTTAGTATTACTTACTACACTTCCCTCATACTGGATACCTCTCCCTATAGGTTTACCTTCAAAGTAGTCCCTTGTAGTGTGCGCTTTTTAGCCCCTATTAGGTTCCTTATACCTCCCTATACCTAGACTTTCCTTACCTTGCAATATACCTTTGCCCTCATGCTCTCCGAACCTCGTTCCTTGACTTCCCTATACCTTGTCTGCACTTTCCCGCACTTTCCGCACCTTCGGCCACGCGTTCCCACGCTTTGGATACCTTTGGATACATCCCCACACCTCGCGCATACCTTGTCCGCTATTTTCCTGCGCTTAACGCGCCCTCGGGTCGCACATATCCATCATCGTTCTAGTAGCAAATCCCTTTAGGGTCGAACACGTCTGTATAGACATAGCAGCTAGGCATTAGCTTGACCCAACCTTTTCTTGGCCACCCAGCAAGATTGTTGTTTCCACAGCACAATGCAGTGCTATGACTTCAATGAATACAGATGTACGACTATGCGATAATTCTATAATGATACTCCCTATCTTCACAAACCAATTGGAGATCAAACTAAGCCTCTAAATACGGATCAGCCCGAACTAATATGTGGCTTTGAAACCTACTCTCTGCTGCTCAGGCACTATACAATGAGTGTGACACAGGACAGAACAGAGTACACCCTCTTGATGTAGTCTTAAGTGGGCCAAGTTTCTTAATATTAGTGACTGACTGTTAGTCTTATTTGTCTTCCCTTGCTGATGAAAATATGTATATTCTCCCCACAGAATAGATTTTCTGTGTCTAAAAGAGAACTGGAATATATCTGCACTAGATGACTGATAACCATGTACCAGCTAGTGTAAAAAGTATGGCTCAATGGTGGCCTCAAATATGCTTCTGTATGTCGTGGGAAACAGTGTCAAAAGTGGAATGAAATAACCTAATATTTCACTCAGTGTGTCACTTAGTATCTTAGAGGTGAGAATTTAAAAAAGAGCTTTATGAACACTCTTCTTATTCTCCACTCACTTATTCACACTCAAGCTTAGATAATATGGAAATGGGCTTTCTGTAACTTGGCTAATAGAATATTCCAGAATCTTTCAAATTAACATTAATGGCTGTGCTCTGTGGCTATGCTAACCTGTGATACAAAGCTATGTACACTGCCTCTCACTGTCTGAATGTTAACTTGTTGAATACCATAATGTTGGTCTTGCATATTTGTTATGATGAAGCTTTGCATGGGTGTCATGATGTGCCACCAAGTCACATGAGACTGATTGTGTAATGAAGTTTGAAGTCTTTCAAACTTTCCTCTCAGTACCATAAAAATGAAAAACCCGCGTATGTGAATATGTCAGAACATCACACAAAACATACCTAGAATATGTGAAAATGCATAAGCAAATTATAGGAGGTGTGAGAAACTGCTGACTAATTGACAAATTACAAGTTTGAAGGCAATCTTCCAGAAGGATAAGTATTATTTTAAACAGTTAAAATACGAATGCCGCATAGAAAATTCTGGGGTAGAACCATAGGCTATTGTGAAAGGTATTATAAGCCAGATATTTGCCATGTTCATGTACAAAACAGGTTTTGTGCATGTCAACAGACGATATACGAGATGTAATATCAACTGAGGCAGTCATACAATCATTATCTCACTGTACCCACTGTTCTGCTTATATAACATTATGGTAATTATACACTGCCGCATTTTTTGGCATTTTTGAAACTCAGCTATTTGTCATACCAGGCAGTACATAATTCACAAAAAACATATTCTATTTTTGTCACCTCCTCATATTAGGCCTTCCCACATTATTCCCACACTCCGCAATTTTCGCATTTTTAGCCACCTACTGTGGGAATAACCCCCACAACACCCCAAAACATCACCCAATATGATAGGCAGCTTCACCGCCACACCACAATAGCTCCCCCTTTATATATAAGTAGTAGTTTAGTTTATATATGTATAATAATATAAGACTGCTTTTTTGTTTGTTTGTGTGACTGCTCCTCCCCAGGGGCAATGCAACATAGGGGGTAGGGTACAGAACACTTTTGCAAGTCACATCACAAGACTTGGTGAATTTTTGCATTTTGCTTACTTGACCATGGAACATTTTCTGATGAAAATCAAAGGTTTAGCCCTTGGTCAAGGAAAGTCTATTCCATGGTCTTGTGATATATCAATAGGTCAAGATGTTAGGCAAGCGATAAACTGATAAGCAAAATACTTGAAAGTGGGATGGTTCAAGAAAGCACCTTGACCGTGGGAACTTTTCCGATGAAACCCCAAGTTATGCCCCCCTTGTCAACGTTGCCAGTTGCCATTTGGAAGCCGAAAATGGGTGAGGTTGTGTTTGACGTGATGGGGTCAATGCTGGCAAAATGTCTGCAAACATAATCCTTTGTAAGATCACATCTTGGCCCCGAGCATGTGATGCGGACATGTCGATGTACGTAGGCAGTTTGAGGGGGTGGGGAGTCAAAATGAGAAACATGAAAAGGACAAATGAAGAATAAACATGAAATAGAGATTTAAAAAAAAAAAAACCGTGGGAAAAAAGGAGGAAGGGGCACGCTCCCATATGAATAATACCTTAGGCCCGACGCGACAACGATATGATTCTTGTCCTTCATCTTCAGTTCGCTAACCTTCTCCGGTTCGTCGAAATTCTTCAACAGTGAGTCCTTGTTCTCTACGCGTTTCATATCCACGATGATTGGGATTGCTGCCGTGTCTTTCATCGGTGTGATACCCAACGTCTTGAAGGACGTAACTAATTTGTTCGTTTCCTCGTCTTTTTCAGGTCGATCGTTGTACACCCCGAATTTCAGGGTGTCTGCGATATCCAGCAAATTCACCCATGCAACGCCAGCTTTGCATTTCGCAACCTGTGCGTCCAATTTCTGCGTCTCTTTCCCGATGTCTTTCTTCTGACCAGTAGGTTCTATCGGCCTTTGATCCAGGTGCAGGTGCGATCCACCTTCGTCCTGATGCGCGTTAGTATCTCCTTCGTGAGTCTGTCTTTTCACTTTTCAACGTCAGATACTCACTCCTCCTGACGCTGCTTTCTTTCCTCCACCTTTCGTTTTCCTGGGAGGCATTTAGATCGACAAAATGGTCACAATGTAGGGGCAACACGAAGGTAAGTAACTAACAGTTAAAAATTTTCGCTATCCGACTCCCAGAATTTCTATTTACCCTGTACCCTCTGCCCTCCGCCCTGTGCCTCTGCCTCATGTTCTCTTGAGGTCCGCGAGCATCACGTGGTATGGTCACGTGATGTTCAAATTAGTATACACGTAGTCGATAGAGTATTGACAATATTATATCTTTATGTATATATGCTAAGTATGTACTATAGAGTAATAACCTCCGCAGATGGAACAGTGCCAAGTGCGGAAGTTTACGATACTTGGTTTATACAACCTATATAAAATACAATATATAATGACGATGACATTTATATTTTGGTACATTATATACCATCAAGTTATGGCTTCCGCAGATGGAACAGTGCCGAGTGCGGAAGTTTACTATCAGTAGTCTATACAATGTATATAAAATAGATATAAAGATATAGATGACAATTACAATTACATCATTATATCTATTTTATATACATTGTATAGACTACTGATAGTAAACTTCCGCACTCGGCACTGTTCCATCTGCGGAAGCCATAACTTGATGGTATATAATGTACCAAAATATAAATGTCATCGTCATTATATATTGTATTTTATATAGGTTGTATAAACCAAGTATCGTAAACTTCCGCACTTGGCACTGTTCCATCTGCGGAGGTTTACAATACGTATATGATTGCATCTCATTGTACGTGCATTGGTGTGATTCATTTGATTTACTTAAGTCAGTACGCCATTGAAACTGTTGCGAACGCGGATGTCAAAGTATATAATCATATATATATAATATTGTTCATATGTTTACCCCATAGGAGGGATACAGTAGGTTACTTACATGTCTATCAATGATATATTGGGTGGTTATAGTGGTCAGTTTGTGTGATATATGAAATGGTTATCTTTACACTTGATATATGATATATATGCTGCATTTCTTAATGATACATTGCCAAAATCAATTTGACAGGCTTGCCATTTTTGTTTTTCAGGGCCAGGGGGCTAACATAACCATATATTTAACCGAACCCATTTACAAATATCCTATATAATATTAATCCTTGGGCATCCCTCTAAAATATGTACCAGCCCAAGAAGAGAAAAAAATTTCAAACTTTGAAACCTATTTCTGTTTTGACCATATAAATAGCCTCTTCTTTGCACAAGCCTTGGGTTGCATTTTTCAACCAGAGTATTTCCGCGCTCATGGCGCTGCGAGCCTCGCACAATTGGCTAGGTCTACAGCCACCTCTCATGGCCTTGTTAGGCCAGTCAAGGGCTCATAAGACCTGGGTGGTTTTGTAGATGTGCTTGTGGCGTTATGAATGACCCGTTGTATCATTCACCAGAGACTGTACAAGAATCGTATGCCAGATATCAGTACTTAGCAGTAAGTAAGGAGGTGATCGTAATCTTCGTAACGAACGTACAAGATCGAGTATGATAGGGATCGCAAAAGTAAGTGGAGGTATCGCAAAAGGTATGATGAAGCAACAAGAATAAGTAAGGAAAAAAGTCACATCTATAGAATAGCCCTGCCCCAGCGCTTGGAAGAGAACTCATCTATAGCGCTGGGTCATCTCAAATTTCGGCCCTCAGTCGTTCTTGAAACCATGTTCTAGGCGTGCTTATCACATCCTCAGAACCCGAAGTGACAGTCGTTCTTGTCATCTCTGTGTCATCGCTCGTTACCGTTGTGCCACCCACACTACGGATCGTTGGTTGGGAGAGCATCGAACGAGTGGAGAATGAGGGCATAGGACCAAGGATCGACGTGCGGCTGCCTGGCTCCGCGAACTGGTCCTCATTTTCCTCAATGGTGTGGGACATGTACCGCAAAGGATCTGCGTGTCCAAACGCGCTAACAGATGGTGAGATAGGACCAAACGGTCGACTAGAGTTTAACGACGCAGAGGACGTGGTTGTTACGCGTGAGTGGGCAGAAGGACGAGAAGAATTGGACCCTGAGAGATTGAAAACGCGTGCTGAGGATGCAGGTGCTGAGCCTGAAGATGAACGTGCAGAGTAGGGACTTAGGTGTGAACGCATAGAATGCAAAGACCCCCGCTCAGAGACCAAGGGATTCCCTTGATGGATGAATTGGGGCTGTATCAACAAGCATCGTTAATCCAATATTCTCAACAGTGATCTTCATCCAAACTTACAGTTCCAAACGGGGTTCTCTGTTCACTTGGGTCTGGTCCTGAACTGACACCAAGGAGGCCGCCGGCTAAGCTCCTCCAACCGTCACCTGCTCGTGGCGGCTCAGCATCGAGAACATCGATTGTGATGCCTGCGTCATTTGACGAGCCCGTGATCACAGACAACGAGTCTCTCCACGCATGGCGACTGTACAACGGGACAAGACCTGGCGGCAAAGGTCTCCCACTCGTCGAAGCGGATGAAAAAGGAGCTGGTGCTGGTGTATCCAGAACGTCAACGCCTGTGGGAGACAGCGGGCTGGGGACCCTACTACTACCCATCATATCATAGGGATCATCGTATGCTGGGGGTGCTCCACTCGGCATAGGAGGTGCAAAGTCCGTTGCAGGAACTGCGCTTCCCCTCTGACTCGCAGGCGTGATTGCTCTTGAAGGAAGGGAAACGGGAGTACCCATACGAGAGACTGCGTCATGGTACACTGTGTTCCCGGATACGGCGCTCTTAGCGCTCACGCCTGACATCGGACGTTCTCCTGCAAGGGTATACCCTACACCAAGCCTGCGACCGAGCAAGGATTGGGCTGCCTCGGCGTCTTTATCTGATCCCTTACGCGAGTTTGATCCGCTGCGAGATGAGGAGGAACCAAACCAGCTCCTTCGCAGACGAGAGAAAGAGTTGCGCCAGCTGGCGGGTCCTGCAGCAGGCTGGGTATTCGTGGAGTCGTCATCTTGCGGGCTGCGGGAACCGAGCTCCTGGACGCGTACGCGGCGAGCAGTGAAAATTTTTGAGTCCTCAAGGTCACTCGTCGGGTAAGAGGCACTGCGGACGGATTTTTCCTTTTCGTTGAGTAGGGAGCGGTCTGAAGGCTTGCGAGTAGCAGCACCCTCGAAAGGTGGAGGTGGGAGTAGGGGGGCGATGTGCTCGGGCAGAGAGGGATGACTTGAGTTGTACATGCGTGGTCGGGGTATGTCCTCCGGCTCTTCCTCATCTGTAATGCGGAGGAGCTCACCAGGAGACATGATGTGGCCTAGCATTTCACTGCTGGCGTGAGCAGGGATGCCATCACCACTGTAGGCCTGTCCAAAGTGTCCTGAGCCAGGTAGGACGACGCCATAGTCTGTCGAAGCTTGGGAGGACCTTGTTCTGTCGGAGCCAGTGCTTCCCACAATATGGGGTGGTGCAGCACCGGGGGGAAGAGAAGATACTGGACGTGGACGGCGTTCAGGCTCGGTAGCAGTGCTGCGACGAAGGAAGGAATCTGCTTCATCATCACCGCTGTCACGAGGAGAACCCAGACCAGCTGGACGATTCTCCTCGTCGCCGGTTGGATCAGGGGTAAGAACATTCCATCCCGTCCATATAGGTGTGATAGCCCTAGAGTCTCTTCGACGGGAATTCCAACGGACGAACCAGATGAAAAGCAGAAGCAAGAGGATAAACAAGATGATGGCACCGATGATGATACCGATGAGGGCTCCTTTAGATAAAGCAGTCACATGTGAAGAGGAATTTGATGTGACAGAGGTAGAAGGGGATGTAGATGTAGATGTAGATGTAGAAGTCGATGAGGTAAACGTAGATGTAGACTGATAGGATGATGAAGAGGAAGGAGGTGTCGCAGAGGAAGTAAGTGTCGCAGAGGAAGTAGGTGTCGCAGAGGATATTGGGGTAAAGGTTGAGGATGTCGCAGTGGACGAAGTCGTTAGAAAAGACGTTGATGCTGCTGGTGAGGTGAGACCACCGTAGGTCCAAGCACCATCAGTGCCCAAGGGAATCTAGAAGGCAAGGATGTCAAAATGGACTATTCCGAGGGCAAAGGCGACGTTGGCGGTATCAACGAATGCAGACACTTACACTTGGACCGTAGTAAGTGAGTGGAAGCTGAAGGGTGGTTTCGCCGGTGACAGTTTGACCTGCAGCATCTGTATATACGGTAGTTGCCAGTGTCATCCATGGAGGTAATTGTTGAGTGGCAGCCATGAGCTGTACAGACGTATGGAACCCTCGTTGCGGAGAAGTAGTCGTAATAAGAGTTAATGAAGGTGACTTTGCACCTTGCTTTTGAATCACAAACGTGTACCACAGGAAAAGTAAGTGAATAAGAAGAAGCAGTGAACCTAGTGAACACTGGAACCAGGACAACGTGTGGGTTCAAGAAACCTTTAGGCCAAGTCGCGGTTCATTTTTGTCACGTGTGTTGAGCTTCTATCCACGTGATTAGGAAACCCGTCTATTTATAGCCATGCAAGCGCCCCGCAAATTTCTATCTTACCGTAGCTACTATCGACGCCGCCTTTCAAGTACTCAATGCCTCATTACCGCCTCCTGTCAACTGCTCATGAGCCTCCTGCTATCTCACGAACTTGATATAGTCCCACGTCCTGTCCTCTTCTCTCGCTTCTTGTCGTTCCGCTACCAAACCAACCATCAAATACGAAGGCTAGCCGACGCGCTCCTGAGCCACTTTTTTTAACCTCTACCTGAGAAACGCACAGTGGGTTGCTACAGGACCGCAAGTGTCCACGCGATTACATGTCATCATTTTATATCATTTAGCTCCAGCGAGGCGTCTTCCTCGTGATGCACAAGGACCAGCCGGCAGGGAAAACAACCACCGTGACTTTCTTCGACAGAATCGAGTTGAAGCATGTGTGAATAGTGATGGAGAAGTTTTTATAGACCGGTAGGCAGGTCATGATGCTCAAGGAGCGTCCTTCCAAATACCGTTCGAAAAGGTAGGATCCTGTTGTATGTCTCCCTAATGCCTCAAGAGGTCACCAGATTTCGTCAACATA